GATTTTTCCCCAGGGGTAAAGCGACCGGGGCTTGAAGCTGACCATTCCAGCTAGTGCCGAGGTCAAGAAAATTTGGATCTGTACATCCACTCCCCCATACGCCTTCATTAATTAGTTAAGCACAGATACAACGTTGCCTTTATCAGTCATGCTATTATTATTATTATTATTATTATTATTATTGGAGGGGGTGGGCTACCCTATGCACCGCGACTAATAGTCTATTGTCCGCCCCCCTTTGATATTCTACCAGTCGCCATACCCTACTGGTACTGGTGCGTACTGTCAGCCCCGTTCAGCCAACGAGGTCGGCCCTCTGTACCTCGATACTTCCCCCATCTACCAGAGGCATTGGAAACTAGCCTAATTTTGCTCAGAGGTCTTCTAGAGACATGAGGAACTTTTATGTGCCGTAAATCTACGNTGGCTTCGGTTTAGAAAACCGAAATTAACTGCCGTTGGGATCCGTTGCGCTGACCACGTCGGTATAGTTACCTTGCGGACTACAGGCCACGGGGTTTATATAGTTGCATAGCTCAGTTGGTCCAGCTGGTCGGCCGGTGTTCGATTCCCTGCAGGGCAAGTATTTTCTCTTATTAACCTATTCCAGATCGGCTGTATGGTGCGCCCAGCCTCCTATACGGTGGGTACCCGGGGTTAATCGGTCGTGGCATGAAACTTACCACTCACCTCCATCGAGAGCCGTGGTCAGATGATGGCGCTGTACCTCCACTCCCCCGTACGTTTTCATGGCGTAGTGTATAATTACTCAGTTAATTAAGCACAGAGATATATTTACATTTCTATGTAGGTGCCTGCAGACTATTTGAGTAGATACTTTGTAAGAACCATTGCTATGGACATAAAATTAGTAGAGTTGATTTAGCGTACACACAATTTAATTTATATTATATATATATTATAATTACAGAGGAGTGATTTACAAATCGTTAGTGAACTTGGAAGTCTTTGGGCTGAATTGTCAAAGTCATTAGAAACTGCTGTGATTTCTCCATTAACAGGTGGCATTTCATAAAGGCGGTTGTTGGCAAAAGTGAAATTCTATACCCCGTTCTTTTTTTGCCCGGAAAATCGTAGCTTTGGGGCACACGTTTCGTCCAGAACTGGAGAGTGCCTGCTCCGGGATTGTACGTGTAAAAGTATACAGTCATCTCCCGGGAGGTATCGCTCCAGTGCATCACGGTTCGCCAGGCTGCCTGAAAATATCTTTGCTCTCACGTAACCTTCGTGGAAGCTACTGGTTTTAATATTGCTAAAAATATAAACATAACCTTGAAATTACGTCATTACATTGTTCATGAATTTGACATGCTTAAAAAGTTAAATTGTAAATGTTAAACAACTGCAGTAACTTTCCTCAGTTTTACAGATGTAACGAAAATATGTGGGGTGCCCGAGGAGAGCTGAACATCTTACGTTTTCTGTTTATTTGTAGTTTACTTAATCAGTGATACTGAAGGAGCGCGGATAGCGCAGTCGGTATAGCGACTGGCCACAGGCCGGACCAACGAGCAGGTCGCATTTCGAGTCCCGGTTAGGTCAAGAATTTTCTCTTCACCACGTCATCCGTACCTGCCCTGGGGTTCACCCAATCTATACTATGGGTACTGGGGGATTTTTCCCCAGGGGTAAAGCGACCGGGGCTTGAAGCTGACCATTCCAGCTAGTGCCGAGGTCAAGAAAATTTGGATCTGTACATCCACTCCCCCATACGCCTTCATTAATTAGTTAAGCACAGATACAACGTTGCCTTTATCAGTCATGCTATTATTATTATTATTATTATTATTATTATTGGAGGGGGTGGGCTACCCTATGCACCGCGACTAATAGTCTATTGTCCGCCCCCCTTTGATATTCTACCAGTCGCCATACCCTACTGGTACTGGTGCGTACTGTCAGCCCCGTTCAGCCAACGAGGTCGGCCCTCTGTACCTCGATACTTCCCCCATCTACCAGAGGCATTGGAAACTAGCCTAATTTTGCTCAGAGGTCTTCTAGAGACATGAGGAACTTTTATGTGCCGTAAATCTACGACAAGGGACCCACGGCTTAAAGTCCCTCTCGGAGGACTTGTTCCCTGAATTTTTCCGCCCTTAAAAATTCCACGACCTCCGCCGGGTTTGAACCCGCGTACCTTGAGTCATGAGGTGGGAACTTTACCCCTAGACTACGGAGGCCGCTAACAGTCATACTATACTGCATGACGTCGAATGAATTGGAAAGGATGAGGAAGGAAGCGGTCGTGGCCTAATGGAGTGCATTGTCCCGGCATTGTCTGTAGGCAGTATAATTGATGTATGCGCAGATTCCAACCGAGCACCTTTCGAATACAAGTCAGAAGAAGCCTTACCGCTTGAGCCGCAGTGCCCAGTCCCGTTCTAGCAAATATAAGCAGCATATGCAGGATTGACGGTTCTCACAGACCCCTCATAAGCAACGCACCTCTCTCGAATTATAAGCAGCCCAATTTTGCCACGTGTCCTCCTGAGTAATGAGTAAAGCATTCATTTCGGGACGTCACGCTTGGCCGGATAGCATTTGTGACAGATCGTCTGACTGAAGTTCGTTGTAGCAGATTATGCCTCAGTTTAAGCCCCGGTAGCGCCCTGCCTCATTGTTTCCAGTTCGTTCACTAATTATCCTACAGTTCGACGCTATGAGGTTCATGATATTGCTAGCGTCGTTGTTTGAACCACGAAGAAATAAACCGTTCTTATTAGGTCCGAAGTCCTGTTTACCTTGAAGTAATGTGTAATCGCTTCATGAGATTAGGCATAGATATACCGTCCGGTTTCGTCTGTGGATACAGATTGGTTCTTCTTAGTACATTGGCTGCTGCCGAAATAATTATATAATTGTTTTCTTGTTCTCAAAGACGCCAAATTTCCGTTTATTAATTTTAAACGAAATGTCTTAAGCGTTAGACCGCCTCTGTGTTCTAGTAGTCAGAGTTCCAGAAGTCCGGGTTCGATTCCCGGAGCTACCAAATTTTCTTAGAAATAGTGAGTCTGGAACGGGGTCCACTCAGCCTCGTGAGGATAATTGAGAAGCGGCTCCGGTCTAGAAAACCGAAATTAACTGCCGTGAGGATCCGTTGCGCTGACCACGCGACACCTTCTATCCGCTAAAGTTGGCACTATCCTCGCCGGCAAGCGGAGGTCTCTCGGTCGATATAGTTCGCTTGCCGACAAAAACCACGGAGTTTGTTTTGTTTTTGTTTAATAATAATAATTTTCGACACTTCGCCACTTGAGATAACAGTGCACACTCAGTATGAACTATGCTAAGATATGTTTCACGACAGTTATGGTCTTCTGAGTTATGACGCGGTGAAGTCTTTGCAAGGTGAGTTTTGGCTATTAGCCACATTGCGACAGCATTCGTCACTTCCAGTCGTCGTTTCAACTTCTTATTTCCGGCTTGGATGTCGGTATTGCCAATATTGTCAGTTCTCAAGCGATCTTGAGTAGTGACTCATTGATCAGAACATGTTTACCTACTTAAGAGGCTGGCGTATTGTTCGACGTTGTACGAACGCGCTTTTCGAGGAATTACACGGTTCATTGTTTCACGGTCATCACGGAGAGGTCTTCAGTCACCAGAATTGAATTCAGGATCCGTGTCTCTTGTAAGAATACACACATCAAGGGGCACTGCTAATGCGTAATACTTACCTAAGCATGGGATTGACACAGAATCATGTGTGGGGTAACGTGGTTATATTATAATTTTGTTGTGAATTATCCCACATTATTATTATTATTATACCCGTGCTAACTTTATAATTGGCTACTGTGCTGTTAAGTTTGCACGTAAGTAAACACGAATTGAATTGAATCGAATTATTATTATTATCTGGCTCTGCAGCCCTTGGTTGTAATATAATTGTAGACACGAGGTCTAATACGTAGCATAAAGTGTTTCTTCTGATAGTGTTCCAAGTTACGAATGAGGGAAATGTCAGGACAGCACAGCGGTGTAAATCTCACTTTGGAAGTTGTGTTTGCGAGCATGTGGTTTATCTATTATCTCATGACAGGGATTATTGTCTAATCAAAGAAGAAAGAAACTCCGTGGTTTTAGTCCGCAAGCGAACTATACCGATCGAGCGACCGCCGCTTGTTGGCGAAGCTAGTGCCAACTTTAGTGGATAGAGGGTGTCGCGTGGTCAGCGCAATGAAACCCCCACGGCCGTTAATTTCGGTTTTCTAGACCGGAGCCGCTATTTCCTTCAAATAGCTCCTCAATTATCCTCACGAGGCTGAGTGGACCCCGTTCCAGATCAACTACTTCTCAGAAAATCTGGTAGTGCCGGGAATGGAACCTGGACCTCAGAATCTATAGCCAGGAACTTTGACCACAAGAACACAGAGGTGGTCAATTATAATAATAATAATAATAATACTGAAAAATTCTGAATCTGTTTAGTTGCTGCCAAAAAAACAGGTTCTAGTGTTTGGCAAATAGTAGGCTAAACAACAAAGGTGCAGAAACTGTTATATCTATACTCGTGTCAGTGAGAGAATGAACACAAATTTCCCCTACCCATCTGCCTAGCAGCTACCTCCCCATGTGTGCCTTTCCTTACTGCCTGCATTTGTTAACTTGTATTCTGTCTTTGGTTCCGTTCACCGGCTCTCTCCCATCTCTCTCTCTCTCTCTCTCTTCATGATTGGTTTGCTGTTGGTGTGATAAGAGGGGAGGTGCGCAATGTAGATAGAGTGGGGCAGCAGGCGACAAACGTTAACTCCCACCAACCTTGTTCATTCTTTCCCTGACCCGAGTTGTACTGTTGGCTCTCAATTCACGCACAGAACTATAAGTGTACATAAGCATGACCTTTGTACCTGTAAACCCGTATCTGCAGTTGCAGACTGGTTTCAGGTAGTGTAATGACTCGAATTTGTGTCTTATACATGCAGACATCCCCAATGAAAGAACATGACTACAACAGCTTTATTTTCGTTTCTGAACAGTCCACCAACATTCAAAACGGCCACTCCGACGTCTCGCACTCAACTGAAGCTACAGTTGATGAGAGAACAGCTACAGCAGCAAGAACGTCGGGAGGCAGAACTGAAGCAGCAGCAACTGGAGCGTCGAGCTCCGTCGCTTACTCCAGCCCTGAAGGTGCCTGTCAGTATTCAGAGCGTCGATGTACCTCCACAAGTTTTGCAAGTAAGTACCTGCTTAACCCGAAGGTTTCTGGCGATGATGTATGGAACAACTTTCTGACTGTTGCTGTACACGTTAGCCATCCGTCACGTTTCTTCCACCGTGTCAGAAGCTGCTTTTTTTTTTTTTTTTTTTTTTTTTTTNAGAGATGAAAGTAAAATTTCCTCTTGTGGGCGCCTTGACAGAGATTCTGTTAATGCACGGAGTCCACGGTTTCAGACTGGCTTTACCGGGCTCTGTTAGGTAGTCTTCGCGCCTGGTTTCGAGGTTTTCAGACTAGCTCTGCGAAGCTTTTAGGTACTCTGTAGGCCTTGTTTCAAGGGTTTCAGACTGGCTTTGCCGGGCTCTGTTAGGTAGTCTCCCCGCTCGGTTTCGAGGTTTTCAGACTAGCTCTGCGAAGCTGTGTTGGGTTGTCTCCAGGCCTTGTTTCAATGGTTTCAGACTGGCTTTACCGGGCTCTGTTAGGTAGTCTCCACGCCCGCTTTTGAGGTTTTCAGACTAGCTCTGCGAAGCTGTGTTAGGTTGTCTCCAGGCCTTGTTTCAAGGGTTTCAGACTGGCTTTGCCGGGCTCTGTTAGGTAGTCTCCGCGCCTGGTTTCGAGGTTTTCAGACTAGCTCTGCGAAGCTGTGTTGGGTTGTCTCCAGGCCTTGTTTCAATGGTTTCAGACTGGCTTTACCGGGCTCTGTTAGGTAGTCTCCACGCCCGCTTTTGAGGTTTTCAGACTAGCTCTGCGAAGCTGTGTTAGGTTGTCTCCAGGCCTTGTTTCAAGGGTTTCAGACTGGCTTTGCCGGGCTCTGTTAGGTAGTCTCCGCGCCTGGTTTCGAGGTTTTCAGACTAGCTCTGCGGAGCTTTTAGGTAGTCTGTAGGCCTTGTTTCAAGGGTTTCAGACTGGCTTTGCCGGGCTCTGTTAGGTAGTCTCCCCGCCCGGTTTCGAGGTTTTCAGACTAGCTCTGCGGAGCTTTTAGGTAGTCTGTAGGCCTTGTTTCAAGGGTTTCAGACTGGCTTTGCCGGGCTCTGTTAGGTAGTCTCCCCGCCCGGTTTCGAGGTTTTCAGACTAGCTCTGCGGAGCTTTTAGGTAGTCTGTAGGCCTTGTTTCAAGGGTTTCAGACTGGCTTTGCCGGGCTCTGTTAGGTAGTCTCCCCGCCCGGTTTCGAGGTTTTCAGACTAGCTCTGCGGAGCTTTTAGGTAGTCTGTAGGCCTTGTTTCAAGGGTTTCAGACTGGCTTTGCCGGGCTCTGTTAGGTAGTCTCCCCGCCCGGTTTCGAGGTTTTCAGACTAGCTCTGCGGAGCTTTTAGGTAGTCTGTAGGCCTTGTTTCAAGGGTTTCAGACTGGCTTTGCCGGGCTCTGTTAGGTAGTCTCCGCGCCTGGTTTCGAGGTTTTCAGACTAGCTCTGCGGAGCTTTTAGGTAGTCTGTAGGCCTTGTTTCAAGGGTTTCAGACTGGCTTTGCCGGGCTCTGTTAGGTAGTCTCCGCGCCTGGTTTCGAGGTTTTCAGACTAGCTCTGCGGAGCTTTTAGGTAGTCTGTAGGCCTTGTTTCAAGGGTTTCAGACTGGCTTTGCCGGGCTCTGTTAGGTAGTCTCCAGGCCTGGTTTCCAGGGTTCCAGTCTAGCTCTGCGAAGCTGTGTTAGGTAGTCACTTGACGGAAAGAGCCGATTTACGAAACGTTGTGGTGTGAAAAACGTGGGAGATTGCACATGGTCCAAAATATCAATAGAATACCTGCATGCTCCCCCAATGGCGCAGTTCTTCAGAACTGTAGTTGGTATTTTAAGAGGCATGCAATGGGAACTGTGTAATGAGATTTGATTTTTACATTCTTGATCAAGAGATTGTTAGGGCCTTGCCAAGTTTGCAGTATTATACCAGACCGATTTGTGTACGACAGAAGAGAACGAAGTCTGCCATCTTACATAAACTGTTTTTGTTACTGGTACTTTGAAAGAGCTGCTCTGTTTTCATATATAAGCATGGATTGATTTGATTCCAGATGCAATATCTTATGTAACATTGTGAAAATATATATGTATTGTGACGTATTTCTAAGTAGCGGTAAGCTAAACACGTTCCCGAGTGTTACGCTGCCAACAAGAATAGGCGTCCGTTGCTGGGTAACACGTACAACAATGTGCGCCGAGACTGGTTGCTAGGCAGTTGCGTGGTGACACGTCTCTACAAGCCTGTAGAAGAGGGTTTCTATGTGGTCGTGCTGCCGCTATGTAAGGAGAGCTGTCCAGTCGTTAATCAGAAGTCAGTCAGCTTCCATATTGAGGCGGGGTCTAATACCTCCACCGTAGCCCTGCGAGTCGTAGGAAGTGACGAAAGGGGAAGTCTCAAATTTGAGACAGTAAAATATGGTCGTTAGTACCAAGGGACTCGGACCCGAGAATGACTGCGCTGGCGAGAGCTAGCAGCAGTTGTAAACGACAGACCTATCCTCTTGTCAGAGAGAACGCCTCACATCAACAAACACGCAACTGACAGTAATAAAAATCTGGTTGTAAGCCCCAGACGGGTGCTTTATTCCAAGACAGACTAGCCGACTCAGTAGGATTAGAGAATTTGAACTGGGAGCCATGAGCTCCAAGAGCATTGCTGAAGAAAAATTAGAAGCCTTTACGTCTGATTTGAAGACTTTATTTTATGTTATAATGACAGTAATCTTTGGGGTTTTATAAATACTTGTATTTACGACTTGTGTGTACCCAATAAACCTGTTCACCAATCCATACCCCGTCTACAGGTCACTAATACACGTGACAGTATATTGTCATGTGATGGAGTGACTATAGACGTGATTTCGATTGGTAATTTGATTTATTAAACTCTTAAACACAACTCGTGACCACACTTTACAGTTCACAGTCACACAGACTAGTGTCCTCGGTCACGGTCTTCAGTGCTCTGCTTGGTAGCGGCTCCCAACTCTGTAGCGTCCTCGGCCTCCGTGTCCAACTGGCGAACTAGCTCAGAAAGTCAGGGTCACAGTCATATTACGACCGCCGGTCAGTCGACCAGTCTGTCTTGGTGTCAAGCTGCATCTGGGGCCCAAGACTAGATTTCTGTTACTGTCAGACTTGCGGGTTTGTTGATGTGTGACGCCCAAACGCACAACCGACTCCTTATGTAACCTCGGCACGAACCGCATAGAAAACACCAAACAGTTCGTCTGTTGTTGCATCACGTAGCTATCGGCCCGAACCGCGTAGAGAATACCGCTTTCCAGTTACTCGAATGTTGCGTGTTACGAAGTTGTTGCCTAGCAACTGGCGTGTTTTCAGAGCCGTTCCTGGTAACGGCTGTTTGTGCTGGCTTCACAGTTCTTGCCTTGAGTAAATATGTCACAATATGTAGGAGTAGAGTGTGTGTGTGTCGTGTTGTGTGTCTTTCTCGCGTAATAGTTTTCACGCAGTAACACGGGTCGCAGCTGTGTGTTCAAAACTGTGTCACCTGAATGGTGAAATGTTACTTAATAAACTATTTTAATGGAGAGAGGGAGAGAACAAGATGAAGAATGAAAGTGATAAATTAATAGAATGAAGGGAGTGAAGGATGAAGTTGTGAAAGAGAGGCTTGTTCGTTGAATCTGAACTCGATTTCCCACTTGTAGGCTAATATACGTACAATACTGAATACTGTTAACGCTGTTTTGTAATAGTTACGTTTTAAATTTGTAGCAACTGGACATATGGGTATACCGATTTACAACGAAATAAACTCTATTCAATACCATTAAACATCAAAGCGCATGTCACTACGCCAAAACAATCCATCAAAAGCTCGAAGAAAGAACATTTTGTCTTACACTTGCACAGGAAACATCGTGATTTTGAAATAGCTCAGGGAATAACGGGAGATGGGTCTGCACATAAAGTAAGAGTGAAATTATTTATAACTGCAAGGACATTTATTTCTGTCTAGAGGGTCGGTGACTTTGCAGCAGCTGGAAGCCCTTTCGAATTGTAAAAATTTTACTTAGGGGTAAGATCCGAGTTTTTCACGCTAGTGAAGGTTCATATTGTGGTCTCCTATGATATGGCGTAGTATATCGACGTTTCGGAGGAAGATATGCCCTCTATCTTCAGTTATGAAGTGAATATGGAGGCAGTATATGCCTCCGAAATGTTAGTACGCATGAACCAACGTGACACGTTGTCACAACCCAAAAGACCACAACATGTAATAATGCAGAATGCCTAAAACAGAAGTCTGTACCTCCATGAACTCTTTTGTATCAGAATCCATCCCACCACGAGGATGTGACTGTCATGGCGACAGATCTCACGTGTGATCGGAAATACTCCCAGCTTGAACTTGTGTAGAGACACATAGACATAGCAGCACCTGCAATGGTTTTTCGTTGTTTGTGTGTTTCTGATGACAAGTGCTGTAGGGTTTTTAAAACAAATTTAGCAGTAGAATAAATATTAGTGCTTAGTGCTATTAGTGGTTGCTTTCCTTGTCCGTGTCACAGTGTTTAGTATCCACCACTCTGAAGAAGTGACATTTACGAATAAGTTATGGAAAGTAGTTCGCTTGTGGACTAAAACCACGGATATTAGATTTTAGTTTATAAAAAGTAAAAGTATCCCTGTAATAGGCCTTGGAGGTGCATAGGGTTCTGAGATGTTAAGGTTCCCACATTTTCTAGGCAATCGGCTCACAGATGGCGGTGAGATTGTCAGCCTTACGCGCCGGTCGCCCTTTACCCCCAAGAATATTCCTGGTACTCTTTTCAGTTAGAGACTTAGTCGACCCCAGGGCCATAGTGCGGCTGGAAGGATTAGGTCAATTAAAAAAATCCAGTGACCTCATCGGGACCTGAACCCGCGACTTTCCGGCTTTTAGCACAGTGCCTCAACCAACTACGCTACCGCGTGCCCCTACGATTAAGTTATAGCACACTCGTATAGGGCCTAATTACGAAGAAGGTTGGGAATGAAGATTCCAGTCGCATCCAGAGGATTTACCGCAGTATTGCACATCACTTTGATAGCCTGGTCTCCCGTGCATAGTAGCAAGGTTTGGTGGGAAATTTAATAATAGTTGACCAGACCTTGGAACGAACCCGGGCCGCCGCGGTTAACCGCTTGAGCTATGGCGCGGCCTAAATCTGGTAACACCGGGAATCGAACCCGGACCTCTGGATCTGTAGCCAGGAACTCTAACCACTTGACCAGCGGCCTCAGTAGTCTAGGGGTAACGTTCCCACCTCGTGACTCAAGGAATTTTTAAGGGCGGAAAAATTCAGGGAACAAGTCCTCCAGGAGGGACTTTAAGCCGTGGGTCCCGTGTCGTAGATTTATGGCACGTAAAAGATCCTCGTGTCTCTAGGAGACCTCTGAGCAAAATTAGGCAAAAAGTTTCCCGCCCAAGTAGTTTCCAATGCCTCCGGTAGATGGGGAAGTTATCGGGTACCACTGCCAGAAGAGGGCTGACCTCGCTGGCAGAAAGGTGCAGATAGCGAGCACCAGTACCGGTAGGGTATGGCGACAGTAGAAATTAAAAGGGGACGTACAATAGACTACTAGTCGCGGTGCATGGGGAAACCCACCCCCTCTAATACTGAATAACTGAACTGAACCACTTGACCACAGAGGCAGTCGTGGGTCCACTAACCCAGTCCATTCCAGCGAACATCGCGGTGGAGAGGGTAGCATTCACGCTGCACGCCCTCTCCAGAGAGAGGGGTTTCGCGGTTTGCCTCATTGCAGAGAATGCTGGGATAGGTCACTGTCGCTTCCTTTAATACCTGATGAATCTATCATATCGTTCTACAAGAACACTGTATCATTTCTCGGATTCATAATTTTTACCCATATATTCACAGAAGCCGAGCGGTCTAAGGCATGCACTGTCTTCACTCGCTCGGTAGCCGGGATCGTGGGTTCGAATCTCACTCAGGGCATGGATGTTTGTATGCGTTTTTCTGTGTTTATGTACAGGCAGAGGCTTTGCGACGATCTGATCACCCGCCCAAGGAGTCTAAAATCTAAGATCTAGTAAACCGAAGTGAAACGGAGCGTTTCATGAAAGTAGTCCAGGGCCCAAATTGGGGCTGTAGCGCCAAAGGTTTTATATATATATTTATTTTTTTCAGAGAATGTTATTTCATCGACCTTTCTACATCTGTTCCAGGTGCGGACGGGTCTAGAAAATCCAACGCGGTATCACGTAATTCAGAAACAGAGGAGTCAAGTGCGGCAGTATTTGAGCGAATCATTCCAGCAGCCCGTAGTAGGTGTGAATGGTGCTAATTGTACTGTTGACCTCCCTAGTGGGGCGGTGCAGGTTCAGAGCGCCCCGAATCTCGCTACTGTGACTCTACAGAAGCACCATGTTGTCGGCGCTAGTCCAGAGAATGCCGCCTCACCCAGTATCAGCTCCGTCGCCACAAGCACGGATGAGGTGAGTAATCGCTTTTGTTCTTCTTGAGGCTAGTCGAAGGATGAGGTGCTGTACTTTATCTGTTACATGAATTTTAGTTAATGGATTGATTGGTTTTGAATTGTAGGTCTGTATCCGTAAACACGAGCGCAAGTTGTTACTTTGTGTTGATGAACAGTTGGGATACTTGTTTTTAATTGTAGGTCTGTATCCGTAAACATGAGCGCAAGTTGTTCCACTTTGTGTTGATGAACAGTTGGGATATTTGTTTTTTAATTGTAGGTCTGTATCCGTAAACATGAGCGCAAGTTGTTTTACTTTGTGCTGATGAACAGTTGGGATATTTGTTTTTAATTGTAGGTCTGTATCCGTAAACATGAGCGCAAGTTGTTCCACTTTGTGTTGATGAACAGTTGGGATATTTGTTTTTTAATTGTAGGTCTGTATCCGTAAACACGAGCGCAAGTTGTTTTACTTTGTGTTGATGAACAGTTGGGATGCTAAGCAACTTGCACTTTTCACCAAATGCCTTTTTGAACAGCGACAATTCGTCCCTGGGAAGGAATGCTCTTAGAAAAATTACCCTTTCTGTGACATACTCTTGCTCAGTAATTACGAGAGAAGACATTTACACCAATTGCAATTTAACTCATTGTATGGTACATACTGGTGTGATTGGAGAAGTACTTAAAAACAGGTACTCTTTTCCAGTACAGAATAAGATCTTTTATGTTGCCATTTTCTACACATTTATTAAAAAATTTCAGTACAGAAATATCTGTACCGGATAGCTTTGCGTTGTGCCGGCTGTTTTGAGGATGTGAAATGTGACCAAATTGTTTAGTGACTGGTGAGCATCATGCCAACCCCTCCATGCGCCTAACATTGTGCAATTGTTCAAGCCATATCAAACACCATAATCCGAACTGATATATGCAGCTTCGGAGCTTGTCAGGGGAGCCTGGATACGTAAGCTGTCAGTAACAGCATGAAGCCGACTTCAGCATCATGACTCAGACCGGTGTGCGGCGCTTTTCATAATTTCATTCGTTTCAACTGTGCTCCTTTCTTTGCGTCATATCGCAGACATACATATTTGTAACATTCCAAGTGCCAAATCTGATATTCATTTTCTTTCGCGTAGGTAGTTTATCCAAAGAATCCGTCCAGTTCCGAGACTTCTTGAAATAGTTCGTAACAAGCTTATTTTTTACGATGATTAGTTAGGACCACCCCTTGTCGGCTCTCTGCGCCTGCTTGAAATAGAAAATGTAATACCAGATAAATAGGAATTAGTGACTAAAGCAAAATATAACGAGACGGACGTGGCCCATCTCTTATCACAGTGCAGGCTCATAGCCCGTTTAAAACTGTAGCGCATTGGGGATAGACGTAGACTAGTCAGCTACCCGCTAGACGAAGTGATAAATCCAGAACTACTTCAAAAATTAAAATTGTACGATAATTTGAAAAATAGATCCTTTCCGTCCCGTTGTAAGTAGGTGGCAATTCTGCGGTGGTATCTGGGCGCCATCGCCGTGAGCACCCCGTAAGGGCGGCCCACGATCCGTGCACACGAGTTGACCTCCCCAGTCCTGCGCCCTGACATCGTGCTTGCTCTGCTATTGTTATAATGTAGAACTTATCTGTTATACCTGAACATATCCTAGTATTACCCAAGCTGATGCCTATCATCTGGATTTATTTCTGTTTTCTAACCATCTTGTACCTTTTATCTTTGTATTTAGTCACACACATTCCTCTTTTTCTGTCATTCCCCTGTATTCTCGCATCCTCCTATCGTCGTAATACCTATTTTTGCAACGGCATTCCTGAAGTTTTTGTGCCCGATGTAGTCCCTCTTGCACGCCTCAGGATGTGGTTCCAGTCTGCCTCTTTGTTGCGTAATAGGCACGTCGCATGTTCGTCATTTCTTCCAACCCTCTTCATTTCCCAGCACGTGTTCTTCTGACGGGTTCTCCCGTTCATAGTCCACTACACACCTCCCAGTATTTCTTTTATTGTTAGCGGGGTGGAAGGAACTAAGTCCCTTGTACTGCGGCCACTTCTGGCCTATTCTACCAGCCACAGATGATAGGTGAGGGTGATTGTGGAACAGTTGGTGGAATGAAGATTGGCAGGGGAAACCGAAGTACTCGGAGAAAACCTGCCCCAGCGCCACTTTGTCCAGCACAAATCCCACTTGACGAGACCCGGGATCGAACCCGGGCTGCCGCGGTGGGAAGCCAGCAACTCACTGAACTGATATGCAGTGTTAGTGAACTAGCCTTTCCCGTCTTGACTACCATATTGTGCCCTTTTATGTATTCTCATCCAAATATCCATGTTATTTTTCCATTCTTGAAAATGTTTCATATGCTCAACCTTTCCAGTTCATTTTTGGAATATAGAATAATATAATATTATTGGAATATATTGAAGAATATTCGACGTACTCCATGTGTACTAGATGTTTCCATGAGAAATGTTCCCATGATCACACTGCAGAAGCAGAATAAGACGTGCTGACCTTCCTTTATGAGCAACTCATGTTGTGTTATTTGAAGGGCGCAGTTTATCATCTGAATTACGTGAAGTACTTTGTCTAATGTCTTACGTATTTTCAATATCAGAGATAACTTTCGCACGATTGAAGTGCATGATTGTTTGCCCCGTCAAAGGTGGAATCCCGCTCTCGCTGATAGCTTACTGTCAATATTAATAACTCCAGAAGTGTTAGGGTCAGATGCTGTAGTTGGTTATTCTACTGGCTTAAAAATAAATGACAGATCTGAAATGTGTCTGTTACTAAGGGCGTATAAGAACACGCCGCCTCTGTTGTCTAGTGGTCAAAGTTCCTGGCTACAGATCCAGAGGTCCCGGGTTCGATTCCCGGCGCTACCAGATTTTCTGAGAAGTGGTGGGTCTGGAACGGGGTTGACTCAGCCGCGTAGGGATAATTGAGTAGCTATTTCGAGGAAATAGCGGCTCCGGTCTAGAAAACCGAAATTATCGGCCGTGGGATTCGTTGCGCTGACCAGGCGACACCCTCTGTCCGCTAAAGTTGGCACTAACTTCGCCGACAAGCGGCGGTCGCTCGGTCGGTATAGTTCGCTTGCGGTCTAAAATCACGGAGTTTGTTTTTTGTTTCTTCCGTGTGCGTCTTTAATCGGCTACTTTATGAAAATAATTATAACAAAATTACGCAAATGGCGCCGGTTAGGAGCCTCATTTGTCCACTTTAGTTTGATGCACCTAATCGAACGTAAATCAGAAGCCGTGAGAAGTTCGTACTGCCGTCGGTTTGCGAACGCTTTTGTACGGGACTAAATGGTGGACAGTGAAAGCAAGAGATGAGGCCAAATTACAGCCCGTGGGATAAAATGTTTGACTCGGGCGGCGACATTTGCTGAACTGAAAGAAAGAAGACGTAAAGGACAGAACCCATCTTCGGAAAACTTTTCATATACAAAATAAACTGGATTCTGCATGTAGAGAGAATACGAAGGAACAGACTTCTAGAAGCAGTTGAAGAAACCACAAACTTCATGGATCAAGAAACCAAGGAAGATCTGTGAAGAGACCACTTCACGACTGAAGTCTGAACCGTTTAACTAGTGCCTCGACAGATAACGGTGATGAATCGTTGCGAATTTCTGAGTACTAAGAAGAATGTGTAAATAGCGTACGGCACTTATATCTCAGATGTAAGATTTGAGGTTTTCATGGCGGTGACTATGAGGAAAGCAGTCTCTTGGGATGTGGCGCCGTGTAGATGTTGTGTTAACAGACGTTTCGGAGGAACGTATCGCATCAGTCTTCACGGTAGAAGAAAAAAGAAAATCCGCAAGCGAAGAACCAGCTGAGCAGGTGCTGCGGCCGGGGCATGAAACTACTCTTCTTCTAGTGTCGAGGTCAAGAATGGTGGAGCTATACCTTCACTTCTTCATATTACGTACTTACTTACTCACTCATGGAGCTGAGCACTTCTGGAGGAGCCGCCTATTCTGCAGCCACTCAAGAAGTTCCCAGCGTTTTATGGGACCCGAAAGTTCATTACCGTGTTCACAAAAGCCCTCCACTGTTCCCTGTCCTGAGCCAGATAAATCCAATCTATACCATCCCATCATATCTCTCTAAAATCCATTTTAATATTGTCCACCCATCTACGCCTTGGTCCTCCCAGTGGCCTCTTTCCTTCTGTCTTTCCCACCAATATCCTATATGCATTCCTCGTCTCCCCCATTCGTGCTACATGCCCTACCCAACTCATCCTCCTTGACTTGATCAATGTAATTTTACTTGGAAAAGAGTACAAGTTATGAAGCTCCTCATTATGTAGTTTACTGCAACCCCCTGTCACTTCATCCCTCTTCGGTCCAAATATTCTCCTCAACACCCTGTTCTCAAACAGCCTCAGTCTATGTTTCTCCCTTAATGCCAGAGACTAGGTTTCACACCCATACAGAACCACAGGCAAAATTATAGTTTTGTATTAAGTTGGTTAACTAAAATACAGAAAGGCAAATAATTTTCAGAAATCTTGAATTGTATCACAGCCTCAGTGTAGATTGTTGTGGGCGTCGACGTTTTGTTGGCAGGTGCTGCACACGTTTTTGTAGGTCACTTGAAGGAGAACTGCATTTCTCGCGGGAAAGAAAATATGTACCTTCTATTCTTCGCTTTTCCACAATTCATGTGGCTTATATGCTTATATATGTTACCATCAAAGGCAGGAAGACGGCCACGAGCACTGCTCGCCACGTGTATTCATGTAAATGTGTCAGGGGTCGGGGAAATCCCGACGCGCGTGGTATAAGCATCCGCAGTTTTCCGACAGAACAACAAGCACGAACTGATGATTTTGAAGTCGTGATGTAGCTGTAAGGTAGGCCGCACACCGGCATGCGTCAAGACATGTAACACTCAAAACACGTTGTCTGCGACATGACGCAAAGAAAGGAACACAGATGAAACGAATGAGATTATGAAAACCGCCGCACACCGATCTGAGTCATGAT